TATGAGTTTGTATGTAATGTATGAATATAATATACAAGTTTCACTTTTTAAATGGAATTACTGAAATAAATCTACTTTTTCATGATATTCTAATTTTATGACCAGCACCTGTATATACTCACTGATATATTAAATGCATTTCATGTCTGATTATGAGTTAACGATTAACCAAAAAGCACTTTGTCAGAATTTCTGAAGGAATTGCTATAAATGTCACAGAGATGTGTGATCAGAAGCAATCAGACAATTTATCTATTGGCACAATAACAACCTGAGGGAAATTAACATTTGCTGAGGAGTGTTTAATGAGACCCAATTTCCCTACAGTCACTCATTATGGCAGCCATAATGCTATCAGTGGGCTCCAGGGTGTYACAGATGCACTCGGGAATTTCTGCAGCAACACTATAGTTGTATTTTTTCCCATGACTCAGATGCTTTTCTCTAAAAGTGAACTCGTCATCCCAAATTGTTGTCCACAGACTCTGCCTTGTTGGCATTTTATAATTTAGTTGGTGATTGGTTTTGGTAGCATTCACGCTGGATCTCAGTTCTTGAAGATGCAGTTTTAATAACCTCTGGTGGACCTGGCTCATGTGTTTTGAGAAACATGATGAATTATTGCTGTACTTTCTTGGTGCTAATGTTAAAATTATCTGTTTTAAAGTCAGTGAACGTTGGGCAATAATGAAACTTTCATGTTTAGTTCAGCTTTTGCACATTTCAAGTTAAAAACAGCACATTTCTCAGTTTTTAAACTAAAAACAGAAGGTTAAGATTTGGCTTCTATAGCAYCAGTTTAGGGGTTTGATATATATTTCACGTGTGTTTGCCTGCAGGCTGTCTCTGAGCAGCAGAGGCTGTGATTAGGCTCTCTCCCAATCTCAGCTCCTCAGTTTTTGATCTCAGTCCCATCCTTAAACCAGCTGACCACCAGAGAACACTGAGGTTCAGAGGACATCTATAAAGTGGAGGTTTGGCTCACTCCTACTAACTTAATGATGTACCAAGGAACGTTTGAAGGTCAGTTTTGTTTGCTTCAGGCATATTTAAAAAACAAACCACACATCAGTTAACTGCATCTTTACATTTCCTCTCATCATAAGTCCTTCAAGGAGAAAGCATCAAACTTATCTCTGACACTGACCTTTTCCTGTGTTCTCAGTTCCTGATCTGTAAATTCCACAGATGTCATTTCTGTAGCTTTGAACTGTCCAACGGTGGGAAGTTCCACTTTTGTTTTTTGCAGAAACCAGCACGAGTTTGGCTAAAAGTCAAACAACAAAACAAAATCTGTRCATTTTGCATTGCAGTTATGACTGACCATTTTATAATGGCTTCCTTTAGTTGTAAATGGTGCTCTATTGGTTGTTGAACTTTATTACAATTAGTTCTTTACTGACTAGAAAAAAAAAACTTTGCATATTGTGTTTCTCGCTGTCCTTTAAAGTAACCCGCAAAGCAAAATTATACAACTGTAGACATAATGACCTTCATGTAATTACACCCCTTCCTCTGGTCTCCATTTAGAGATTTTCAATCTGAGCTATTTTTACAATACCACTGCCTATATAAGTATGTTGCTGTGATTTGATATTCCCTTCCACATTGGCATAAGGATCGTCTTCACCCTGGTATTTGGATGTTTTAGGCTCATCTCCCTTACTTCTTTACAGTTTCTTGTCTGTTGGCTTTGAATCTCAAATGGCAATGACTTAAAAAATATTTTTTTTCCTGTTTGAAATACAGAAAAAAAAGTGAAATGGTGGTAGGTAAAAACAAGAAKAAAGTGTGTACAGAAGTATTCAGTCTGATTATTGATCTGTAACAAATACACAGTGGTATATCCTCCACAGGGCATCAATGCATAGAGCAACTAGGGCTTTTAAGGCACCAACATGCAGCAAAAGAAGAACATTATTTATTTATTTATTTATTTATTTATTTATTTATTTATTTATGTGACATTTTAGCAATCCTGTCATTTGTTCTGGTTTTGAATAATTTATTGTGTTCATTTCTGTATGACTGATACAGGGCTTTTTGTGTTTGGGTTTGTTGACATCATTACTTCTTTGAAAATTATTTTGACACAAATCTCCAAAATTAGTCTTTTTTTCCCTTCTCTCTCTGTTGGCTTCTTGGATGGTCAAAGCAATCAGCCTGCAGGTGAAATCTGGATCTCATTCTCTTTTGGCAGAGTCTCTGTAAATTGTATGACCATCACCCCAGGGACCTTGGATTTTTTTTCTATTATTATTTTTATATTTCTTTTGTCAGCAGGGATGATGAAATATTAGTGATGATAAATTGGAATCTGTGTCCACAATTCATCCGGAGAACAGGTTTATTTAGTGATGTGGTTTCTTTCTGTCTTTCTTCTAAATATATTTTTTCTAACCACCGCAGAACTGTGACAAACAGCAGATTAACGCAATGAATTTTGCAAAACTTAAAAAAAAAAAAAGTTGAGGTCCTCTGGATCAGTTCTTTATTGGAAAAATAAAAGAAGTTTTGACTTTTTTAGTCTGAAGAGTTACAGGTAAACTCAGCCTAGCAGTACTTCCACATGGTGAAAAAACAAGTTAATATCAGAACTGTTCTCGTGCAAAAGAGGACCATCAGCCTAACGATCGTTAGGGCCCTGATTATCTTTTTTGTTCACAGAGGGCTGAMTAATACTTGCAGCAACAGCTTATAAGAGAGGGACAATTGGACATGAATACCAACTGGAAAACGGAGATGCATCAAAACACAATGATTTGTGCAGCTTTTTAATAKTCAGTGGTGTGTCAGTCCATTACTAAAATAATGTACATAATCTAATCTAACAGCAGGGCTGGGAGCTACACCACTGATGTGGAAACCTGTATTCAGCTCAAGCTGTAAGCCTGCTAATACCCCAAATTGAACAAGCGAAATAACTGATTAATAAKCTGATTGACTGCAGAGCTTTGTGTTGCTTTAAAAAAGTGATCGGTCTCAGATTAAAGTATAATAYAGATATGTTGACCTTTTGCATCCTCGCTTGTTTAAAGTTGGCACTGCCTGACATAAACGTGACATTCCAGTGTTCCAATGGTTCACAGCTGCTGGAAGATGAGTAAACTGGATTGCCATATGATAGGTCACATGCAACATAAAACTGTGAACTGTCTTATGAAACATCTTAATATGTCTGTAAATCACTGCTGACATTATGACTAGGTCTTTGTAAGTGAACCCTGTTCTGTAAGGTGGCTAAATCTGGTGTTCTGAGGAAAGAACCTGTATATTTACTCAAGATTTTAACTGAGTTAAAAACTGGCTACAATATGTCTGAAGTCTAAATATCACAGATTAGATTGTTTGGTATTATTATGCATTYAAATTTCTAAATGGAAATAAAATTATTGTTTCTGAAATCAACTCATTTTCCAGATTTTTACTTAAGGAAATGATCTAATAATTGAACATTGCTTTAAATTTGAGATAGACAGTAAAACAGGATGCTTTATTTAATGTGAAAGTATGAATTTGTCATTCAGGAAAAATTAATCCATCCATCCACCCTATTTTACCTGCTTAACCATATTGGAGTTTTTGTTGTCTATTAAGCAATAGTAACTGAGAAATTACATAAGTTACAGTGTAGCTAATGCATTTTGAGGCTTTGATGACAATTCCCATATATTCCCAAATCATCTATCTATCTATCTATCTATCTATCTATCTATCTATCTATCTATCTATCTATCTATCTATCTATCTATCTATCTATCTATCTATCTA